GATGACAGAAATTCAAACACAAATTATTTTCTCACATAATGACCATTATGAAATTAAATAAAAACAACCTTCTGTCTGTACTGGATGCTGGACAGCAGCTTACCTCAGCCTTCATGTGAGTTACAGACAATATTAAAATAATCCAGTTTGATAAATTCATTTAGATTGAATTTTGGCTATTAAATGACATCTATAGAGACAGGGCAATTTATTTGAGAAGCTTGCACGCACGCACACACGCACGCACAAACGCACACACACGCACACACACACACACACACACACACACACACACACACACACACACACACACACACACACACAAATCTAATGTATGTAATCAAGTGGTGGTGATACAGTACTGTAGGTAATTTGGGTCAATGTTCTGAAGTGTTGGTGTCATTTATTGGTATTTGGCATATTTTAAAATATACTATATATATCACGGTATATATGTATATATCACATGCATTGTCCTACAACCTTCAGAGCCAGGGCCCTTTTAGGTAGAAGAAGTGTGGAAGCAAAGGAAGAAGGGAAAGAAAGTTACAGCGATGATGCGGATGAGAGATCCATAGTGGAAGAAGTCATAAAAAGGATGTTGAGGTTTGTGGCCAGCAGATTTGATTGACAGGGACAGGGAGCCTTTTGTCTTTCATAAATGTTTAGAGAATTTTATCTCTTAATTTTACAATAAAAATACACTGAGACTGTAAAAGATTGCCTTAAGGACATTTTTTATGGTGGCTTTTAATCTTGCATCAAATAATGAACTGCATACTGTATGCAGACTTGCATGTACAAATCACCAGCAGTAAATATTGTGCTAGTACTAGTATTGAACTACAAGAAGCAAGACAGTGCAAGCCTTTAATTAGAGTTATGTAAAGCTTTTGATGGGACAGTTAGGTCCTAGAGATGTGGTGACAACAGCTGCGCAGAGGGGGCCCAATTTGATTTTTATGTCATGGGGCCCAAAATTCCTGGCGGCCCCCCTGCCCGTCCTAATATGCTTCTGATTGGCCAGTAGTCCTTAACTAGGAACTGTGCATGTGCAACTCCCGACAAAGATCATGTAGAGGCAAGATGTACCACTCCATAGCTAAAACGAAGCGTTGTGTCTAAAACGAACCGTTCAACACACAGGGTGAAAAGAGGAGCAGCAGCAATGTGCAGTATGACAAAAAATATGGTGTTCTTTGAAAATGAAACCATGTAAACCTATTCTGGTACAACCCCTAAATAACTGAACCTGAAAATTAACATAATAAAAGTAACAGAAGGATTTATTTAACCTTAACACAGATCAATGATCAGCAACTTCAGCCAATAAACCACTATCATCTATTCTATGCAAAATAAAAGCATACAACAATCAGCAAGCATGTAAATGTAGATGTGTGTGTGTGTGTGTTAGTGCTGTAGTACTTGAGACCGGTCTTTTGTTGGTCTTGGTCTTGTCTCGGTCTCTGACATTGAAGACTCGGGATTTTATTTCAAGACCAGTCAAGACCATAACTTCAATATCAATTGAATATCAATAAATTGCTTTTGCAATGTCTGATTTATTTGTTAACATCCTAACTTTGATTGGATGTAAAACGTATTGCTTCAAATCCAACCAATAACCCTAAATAAAAATGTGTTGTTAGTGTTAATGATGGTAAGCATGGAAAAGTTGCACAAAGATACTTAGGTTGATTTTAGCTCTTAGTGTTTGTTTGTGGGTGTTTTAATGGGAATGTGGATCTTTCAGATCTTGACTCGGTCTCGCCCTCCCTTGGTCTTGGTCTCGACTTGGTCTCAACCCCTAAAAGTCTTGGTCATGTCTCGGTCTCGTTAAACTCTGGTCTTGGTGTTGACTTGGTCTTGGTTGGGGCGGTCTTGACTACAACACTTGTGTGTGTGTGTGTGTGGGCATAATAGAGGGGAGAAGAGAGGTATATGCCAGGTGTAACCAAGTGGGTTGGTCATCACGCAATGATCCAAAATGGCGGGCAGGCTCGCGAAGCTTAAGCAAAGGGCTAGGACCCAAAATGGCAGACACAGGGACTTTCCAAAAGTACTTGCTACTCCCTCCCCCTATCTATCTTCAGTCAGTTTGCTTGTTCACGAGGAGGGCCCGCCACATTGAGTGCCATCCGAAACCCATAAGCGTGGAGTGGTAGTGGTTTATAAAATCTTCCAATGCTGAGTGAGCATCGATGCAGGCTTGTTGGAATTGTGTAACACCATTTACTGCACGATGGAGGACCTTTCTTTCTGTGTGACTACACCCATAAACATAGTCTTTTTAAATTATGGATATACATTAAGATTTCTGTATCACCATGCACAGGTTAACAATGTAGCCTAAAGGGTATGTATATATATATATATATATATATATAATTTTTATATCTTATTAATCTCATATGAAAATCTTCAGCCAAAAAAAGTACATAAAACGACAGAATAATAGAACATGACACATCTAGATATAGGGGTATCAGTAACAAGCAACAAAGTCATTGAAGAAAACCTATTTCAGTGTTTTCACATTTTAACTGTTTTAATTGCTTTACTATACCTCAGACCTACCTATAATGCTTCAATATAATGTTTGATTTAAATTTTTAAATGTTTCGACTATTTGTGAATGTAATATTTTCCATGCAACATCAGTATGTTGTACATTATCAGTGTGACCATGGTGACTTAAGCATTTAGCTGAAAGCACAGGCTCACAGTGGAGCTAGCATGGCTGTAGACTCTTAGCCTTGTTAAATCTTGAGTACATGGCAAGTAGGTAATTTCCAGTCAGAAATTTTCTTTCAAAAAGTAGTAGTGTGAAAAGGGATGTAGGGAGAAATGTGTGACAAGGATGGAATGTATTTTTTGGCATTATTTTCAATCAAAATTATATTGACCCTTAGAGTTCAATAAAAAACTGCTGGTTATGGGCTGAGCTGAACCAGGCCTCAGAGAGTCTTAAGAGTTGCACATAAAGTAGATTTATCACAGCATCTTTCTGGTTCCCACGGGTTATCACTTACTTCTGAGAAACATTTTTCTAAAAATAGAAACTTAATTAAAGGCAGGGTAGGCAAGTTGCTTCTGCAACACTTTTTGTCATATTTGTTGAAACTGTCTTTATACATCAATGCATATTAAAAAGTTAGGTGCTCTGAAAAAGAGAGTATAAAAATCCTCTGTTTGTAGTCCGCTGAGGGCTGCAGTAAACACAGCCACTCGTTCCATTCGGACCGAATGCAATGATTGGCTGGGTGACTGTCACTCTCCCTCGCTGCCATGGCTACCAGCCCTGCTGCTACATGAGCTGCCCCCGTGCGCGCACCCGGTCAGCTCGCTCAGACCTGACGAGCGAAGCGGTCAGACCGGAGGTAATATCTGTGTGGCTTTTCAACGATAGTGACAACTGAGGACCACCAAAAGGCTGGAAAGTTACACCGTGGTGACTTTATTTCTGCTGGACAGGTAATCTGGCTTTTAACATTTTGATGGTAATTTGTTACTTTCATCGCTAGCAAACATAGCTATCTACTTAGCATACAGCTAACGGTTGCTACGAGTGCAGGCTGGTGTAGCAGCCAGAGTAGAGACGATGAATTATATCTAGCTGTAGGTGAGCTGGAAAACAGCAGCGCAAGCTATGTTTTCCAATGCTAGTATTAGGTAGGACAATGTGTAGACTGCGCTGGTTTAGTTATTCACCATCTAGGTTTATTATACTATGATTACACATATCTTTATCTTTACACCTTGTATCTAATCTGTTTTTGTAATTATCTTGTGTCTGCAGGCAGGTTGTTTGATTGTATGTTACTCTTTTACAAATGATGTAGCTGTGTGTTTGAAGTTACAAGAAATACATTTCAACATTAGTGTACATAAACAATGATGGCTAAAGGTCCCCAAGTATCTGTGTTTCTGGTATATAAGCTACCCATAATATAGTTTGACATTGTTCGTAGCTAAACCTACTGTGTGAAAACCTTTTACTGTAACTGGTGTTATGCCATTACTTATTTTACCAGAAGTAAAAATTCCTGTATGTTTTATTTCTACTGCGCCCTCAGGTCACCTACAGTCTTCCAACACCCTGTGCTTCTCACCATTACACTGATCGGACCATGCTGGCTGGCCTGGATTACAACCACCGTGTCCACAGACCAGCCAGGAGAAAAGCTGATGACACAGTTCAGTATGTTGCATTATGAGTACTCTGGTGCATTTTACTCAATACATTTATAAGTGATGAGTCAAAAAATATTAAACAGTATGTGGAATACAGATAGATGGTGCTGATTTATTGTTATTGATTGCATTTTATATGGAAATAGTTTATTAATTACTCTATAAGAGAACAATGTCAGGTGTTAGAAACTTTTCACTAAGCTGATCCTCCTTTCTGTATTATCAGGTACAGAAAGGTGTACAACAAAAAGTCCAGGAAGTGGAGCTTGTACTCATTGAAGGTGGAGAAGGACTACAGTTACATCACAGACCTCCAGAGTGCCATCCTCCTCCTCCTCCGGTTGTCTACTACTGAGGAGATGCCTAGAAGCAGAACCAGGAGACCTGATGATCCCCGTCAACATGGGGTTCAGTCAGGTGTCCCTGCCCCAACTATGTTGCTAGATACAGCAAAATATAAAACAAAAAGTAATATGGTGGATTTGAAATGTGGTAATCATGTCAGAGAGGTGACTGTGATATATTATATCATCTCCACAGCAGCGATACGATGCTACGAGTAAAGTCTGAACTGTCTTCATAATCAGTCAACATAAATCTGGACACACCTTGTCTCTTCCTGTATATACTTATTTTTATTGATGTTTTAAAAATGATCTATTTGTGATATAGGTTGTAGTTTTAGTAGTATATAATAACAATAAACAAGTATTATACCACATTTGGATCTCATTATTTCAGACATAAGACATAAATGTAGTTGCTTGATTGTTTATGCTGCAAGTGTAAAGAAAAGGGATTTATCATTTTCAATGTTTTATTTAAAAAAGAATGACAATATTATCCAGAATAGGGAAAAATATCTTTGTATTTTCTCTACCCTCCTGGGCATAAAAAGAAAACAATGTACAGATATTCATTCACACAGTGGAGGGAATTATTTGTGTAGCAGTTGGTGACATTACATCTTACACCCTGCTAGGATTAAACCTCTGTATTGTCCTGGTGGATCAGAATAACAGTTGCATATCTTCCAGAAAGCAACTTAGTATCACGACTCTGTGACCAAGTGCTCCACATTGCCACGCTACAAACTGTCTGTATGCTGCCTGACTGAACTGTCTGTTACTCTGTCCTGGGTCTGGAAGGTCAGCCTTGTGTGGTGCATGGAAATACTGAAGTCTGGATGTTGGCCACAGTCCTCAGATTCTGGCTTGTAAAGGAATATATAGTTGTTAGAACCCCAATTTGGAAAGATCAGTGTAACATTCATCAACATGATCCGATATTTTTATTGAACAGGGCCTTGTTGTTCTCTAACAGGACTTCTGTGTCCACATTACACACCAGGTCAATGTACATGACACAGATGAGCCGATGGCTGAAGCAAAGCTGTAGTTAGTTGTTGTAATCAGTAAACGATAATAAAAAAGTAATAACAATAGTGATGGATTACATTTATAAAGCACTTTATTTTTGACAGTCAAAGGGCTTAGTGGGAAACACCAGAGAAACTTTGAGACAAGTACACTGGGAGATAATAGACTAATATTAAAATATATATGTATAGATGTACCTGTTCATATGATGTTGTCGCAGCTCCTAGAATATGTGCTGCTTAGCTTGCACCTCGTCCTCCCCGTCCTGCCTCTTCTTCCTCGGACCCCGGCAGCCCTCCCTCCTCTGCTTCGCCTCGACCCCGAGCCTGTCCCGGTTTGTGCTTGGCTCTGGGGTGCAGTCCTCAGACAATAATGCTGTCACCAACACGAAATACACGTTTGTGTAGTGTAACTGATGGAAACGGGAAAATGTGTATCAGCCTGTTTTTAGCTTTGCCCAATGTTACCGCAGCTGTTAGCACAGCTACCTGTTGCTAACAGTTAGCTAGCCAGCTCGTTACTGATTAAAACTCGGTCTTTTTAAACCTATCCAATAATAACATGCTAGCTTGATAGTGAGTACTAACAGCCGGGTTAGTTGTTTATTTTCATAATGATAAAGTTAGATGTTTTCTTACCCCTGATGTGAGCGCTGCTCTCTGCTCGTCACACTGTCCTCGTCCTCCTGCGGTGTCGGCAACGCGCGTTCACGGGTTTTGGGGGCGTGGCTTTGGAAGGAGCCCAGAAGAGAGGGGGTGGGAGTTTCTTTGTTGGATACTTTCAAAATTCAGCAGTTTCTTGCTAGTTTCTCAAACTTACCTACCCTGCCTTTAAGGCTATCATCAAGGTTTTAATTTAACCATACAAAATACTCAAATCAATTACACTGCATTAATTTGGCAGATGCCTTGGGCCAAAGCAACTTGCAATAAGTGCATTCAACCAATAGGTCAAATAATATATACTACAATACATCAAGGCCAGAAATTCTTGTTAAAAACAAGAAACTGAACTGCAACTGAATCACTATTATAGGGTTATAACTGGAGAGGATACTGAAGATTTTAGGAAGCGTTTTTATTATCACCATAGCTACCACCTCACCTCATCCGAAGGTGTCGATTACAAAACAGCATGTCACAGGAAGGGGGGTAGGGACTTTTTGTCATCCACCAACCACCTTAGTGTTGTTTGGTAATTTAAGATCACAAATTTAACTGTCTCTGTAAATTAAAAAGCAACAAATACAGTTTATATTACACATGTAGAATATGATGTTGATTCTATAACATCATATAAAGAAATAAGCAATAACACCTTGTGCATGTGTGTGTGTGTACACCTTCATTTTTTCATTTCATTTCAATCATGATCAGCGCAATATTTCTGGATTTCAGTGCACCAGTGACAGTCCCTCTTACTAACTAAACTGCCCACACAGTATCTAAATGCCCACACTATGCATCATAGTCACTGATCACCATCTCCTGTAACTCTGACATTTTCAGTCACTAAGTGGCTCATAAAATGTGTTACAGGGGTAAAGTACAAACTCAAATGATGTTAGTAAATCTTCTTAGCAAATTCTAAAAGATAACATTAAGCCCAGAGTAACAAAAAAACATAATTTATTCTGACCAAGAAAGGTGATTTTCATTAAAGTCAGTACACATCATGAGAAGTCAAAGATGATGCAGCATGCCTTCCTTAGAGTACTCTGCAGTGAGCTATGGCTAGAAAATACACCGGAAAACAAACGTTTTATTCTGTAGTGTTGCTGGTCTCTTCTGGTAAAAATATTTTCAATGACATCCTCCGCTTGGGGTGTGTACATACATTCATAGAAATAAATGTGATTTGGGGTGACCATCATGTAAAACCACAATTGACCGCTGTAGATCGTGGCTCGATGTATTTAGGTTAATCATGCTCCAAAGGCATGTGTCTGGATATCAGCTGGCAAAAACTTTAACATTATAACAACACTGAATATGGTGGCAGTCTAATTTTTCTTTTCCTCTGTGTGGGTGAAGGTGCACAGTCCTTTACAGCTACAAACGTCACCTCTGCAACGATCTGCCAGATTTTCATAGCTGTTATCTTTATTGAGTTTTTTTTTTATACCCTTTGTTCAATTTTGTCTGCATGTGTGTATTTAGGTATGCATGCACGTAGGTATATATATATATATATATATATATATATATATATAATACATACTGTATGCAACATGTATGTTTGTACTTTATATATGAATTGATCAACATTTTTATAGTATACCCTTTTCACATTGTTGGTGTGTTTTCTTTTTTACAATTTCCGTTTTCCTTGTGAAGCACATACACAATAAAAATAACCTTTATTATCATATAAATGCTGTGGTTCTCCAGACACTCCATGCTCTCAAGTGACATGTGACACCCACTTTTGAGTGATCAAATTAAGAATTAAGTAAATAATCTGATGAAAGCCGTCTCAAATATATATACACACACATACATACATATACATATATATATATATATATATATATATATATATATATATACACACACACACACATATATACATATATACATATATATATATATATATATATATATATATATATATATATACATTTATGGCATGCCGTTTAGGAAATTAAATATATATGTGAAGTTTGTTCATCTGAATATATGGAATGAACCTTGAATATATTGAATGAAAGTTTGAATATATGGAATGAAAGTTTGAATATATGGAATGAAAGTCTGAATATAGTGAATTAAATCTGACGTCATTGATGTGAAGTGTGACACTGTTAGTGAATCAGCAAGAAAGTGTCCAACATCCGCAATTTTGAGCAATGAAGAGATTATAAAAACACTGGCAAATGCATGTATGAGCCAAAATACTGGAAACCACATCTAGTACCGTTCTCCTGATTTAGAAATGTATTCTCTTTTATCGTGGAAGACCAAATGCAGGAAACCTCCCAGGCCAGGCAGTTCCCTTTATCAGGCAAATTGAAATAAGCCTTTAACCTCACAGGTGCCCCCCACAACAACCCCTATATAGAATCTTCATATGTCCACCCAAAAGGGCTCAGGCAGTAACTTTTTAAAGAGTAAGATCCTGTGTTTAACCAGAAATAGCTGTTATATCGCTCTCTTCAAAGCCACCGAACTCCATTGACAAAAAATGTTACCGCTGCCAGGTTATTTTTTCTGTGACTTTGGTGGTTAAAAGATTAGTTCGGATGCGAACTAACTTAAGCTGTTGTGGGGGCACCTGTGAGGTTGAAGGCTTGTTTGCCTGATAAACGGGAACTGCTTAGCCTGGGAGGTTTCCTGCATTCGGTCTTCCACGATTAAAAAGAATAAATTATTTCATCAGGAGAACTACTGGATATGGTTCCCAGTATTATGGCTTGTACATGCATTTGCTAGTAGCTTTGTTTGTAATTTCTTCAATGCTCCAAATAGCTGACACTAGATTTCTTACTTATTCGCTCATAGTGTCACAATTGTTACATCCATACGGATTAATCACATCAAAAACACAAGATGGCGCCAGTGCCTTAATGATGTCAGATGATTTCATTCCATATATTCAGACTTTCATTCAATATATTCAGAATTTCATTCAATATATTCAGACTTTCATTCAATTCAGACTTTCATTCCATATATTCAGACGGACAAACTTCATATATATATATTATTTCCTAAATGGCATGCCATACACACACACAAACACACATACACACACACACACACACACACACACACACACACACACACACACACACACACACACACACACACACACACTTCATTTCACTTGGAAATACATCACAAGTTGCTCTAACTTTCATTTCACTGTGTCTTTAAGTGACCAGTTCGGTTGTCATATGGGAACCGTAGACCGCTTTGTTTACGGAAAGCATTCCTGTTCACTTCCTTCATTTTAATGCGTAAGGTGTTTCTCAAATATGACAGGGATGGGTGTGTGTGAGTGTGTTTGTGTATGTGCGTGTTTCTGTGTGTGTTGTAACTGAGGGGAAGCAAGAGGAGAGGCAGAAGATGAACATGCTTTATGGCAGTTGTAAAATTCTCCATGGTCCGTCTGCTAGGGAAGAGCCAAGGGCAGAATGTTTATGGCTCCCAAACATTATAAACTACCTCTGTGCATTTACCTCAAGCTGCTGTGTTTGGCCAGCCATGTCCCTCTGCAGCAGAACGGGCGTCGGAGTGGCGTGTCTCTTCATGAATACTAACTATACCTCTGTTTCACTGTCATTAAATGTATCTTTACTATTTCCAGCCTCACCTCGTCTGCTGGTAAAGTCAGGAGCACTGAGGTCTGATTTTATGCAGTGAATATCAACTGGTAATATCAAATGGCCATATCGGTGGATTGCATGCATGTCCTCCTCTCTTACTACAGTGTATGCAATAAAAACAACCAATGTCTCAGTGAGTTAGAGCCTTCTGGAATGAAACTACAAGAATATACAATGCAATGGTCAATTTAGGGAGACCGCAGCAACCTGCAAGGCCAAGGTCACGTGACAACACTGGAGCATAGATAGCATTACCGCTAACAAACTAATCTGCTAGTAAGGTTACAATGGACACATTTCAATTTGAACTGATTTTTGAAAATTACATTTGTTGTCCAATCTTCATTATCTAAAATTTCTCCAAACAATCTGAACAGAGTTGCTGGAAGTATTTTGCTGGGTGATAAACCCACACAAAGACAAAGAAATTGAACAACAGTCTAATTTTCTAAACCAGAGGTCATGTTTGCATGAATATTCACATAGGAATGTCACATTTTGGAAGAAGACTGGCTTGTTACAAGTCTTTTTAAATGATAATCATTTTTATAGTGTACAGTGTTTGCCATATTCAAATCCCAATTTATCAAAACTTAGCACTACACCCTCAGAGCAAAAATATGTTGTGGCAGGTGAAACCAGACAACAATTATTAATCTCCACATGTACACCCAGCAGTCACAACACAAAAAAATTCTGCAACTTCATGCCACAGAATTAACTACAGTATCTGTGGCCATGAATTATATTAAGCCCCCATATGTTATGTTTTTATTGGTCTGCGGCATTGAGAATTAGCAGCACCAGCTCTTGGTAACAACAGTAGGACCTTTATAGTGTACAGTACATGATGCACACCTAAGTCCTGGTGCACAGAGGCACTCCATCTGAATCCTAACACCATTTTACACTCAGACTCTGAAAGCTGCTGTCAAGGGATACAAGATTTATTTGCCTGTAATTGCCTAATTTTGCCTTTCCTGCAGGCTCAGAGGGAGCCACAGCCCACCAATAGACAGCCTAACCTTGCCTACTGAGGAACAGTCCAAGGATGTAATACTGTCAGCTTCACATAGTCCTCGCTGGTGATTTATCATCACTGCCTCCTGCCCTCCCGCCTGCACT